TTTAAGGATATGGGCTAATCTTACTGGAGTTAGGTGATATCTCAAAGTAGTTTTAATAAGACCAGTTTTTCAATGTTACATTTTGACACAAGACATCTTAATGCTGTGAACATCCAGAATTGTCAGTGGACTAACATTCTTCTTTGTTCTACAGGGTTTCTTTGTGTCTATCATTTACTGCTACTGCAATGGAGAGGTAAGTTTGTAGGAAACTTGGATATCCCACAGAGCTTGTTCTGAGTAAGCTTGTCAATAGCTTTTAAATTCCCAGGATTTAAAGGACAGAATAGGTGGGAGGAAGGGAGCTATTTTAGTTATACAATTATTAGAGAAAACAAAAATTAGTGCAAATAATATAAGGTCTTCTTCTAGTCACCTCAAATATAAGCTCTGATGTTTAAAAACACCTTTCTGGAATATAAATCAATACTTGGATGGACAGAGTATTTCATATTCCAGTGAATACTTAAACTTAACATTCCACTTCAAGTTCTATAAGTAACTCAAATGTATATTTCTATGGGACAATTCATTAGAATATTTTGATATTTTTAAAACTATAAGATGATGATGGGACCGTATCAGTTTACTTAGGAGTTGGCCAGAGAAGAGTGATCACACTGGATAACACATTTTTACCTTGTAAATTTTAATATGTCCTGCTGTTGGATGAGTTGCTACCTTTTGTCTCTCAAATTTTAAGCAGAACCACAAGCCTGCTTGTTATTGCTGTAGACCAGCTGATGCTCCTGACTACAGTTTAGACATTGTGATGTGCTTTTTGTCAGAAAGAGCTTATTTTTCCAATTTACTTCTTTAAAAAAAAAAAAAAAAACCTTATTTGGCAGTAGAGATAAGTAGGCCAGATGTTGATTTTTTTGCCAAGATGAACAGATAGAAGTTTGTTTCAGGCGATATCAGCTTACCAGTTTGCACTGCTTTTCACGGAACTTCCAAATAAGCTCCCATCTGGAAAGTGACCCTAGAAGCAGAACAAAATCCTCATGAGTAGGAGTGCAAACAACAGCCCCACCCTGTGAAAGCCTTTGCAGGCCTGCCTTTCTGTCTCCCATCCGTCTTTCCTTGTTTTCATCCTTCAGGAAGCCTATGCACATCGATAGGTTGGCAGTCATGTTTCCAGTTGAGTACTCTCTGTGCTGCCCCTCAGCCTCAGCTGGTGTCATTAAAGTGGGACACATATTTTATTCAGTAACTGCTAACAAGTATGGGAAAGAGTGGAGCCCAATTGGGCAGAGCTGATTTGGGCATTTTAAAGCGAGGAAGAGGGAAGGGAAAGTGGCGGGGGTGGGGTGGAGGGCTCAGTAGAGTCAGAAAAGTGAAAAAAGTACAAAGGGTTGATCAGTGTAAACATACTCAGGCCAGCAGTGTCTGGTAGCAGGCCGGTGTCTAGGTTAGGGCTCCATCCACCCCCAGAGATTGGGAGACAGAGGCCTTACTCTTCCTGATGGCTATAGTTCAAGGGAATAGCTTCCCGGCTCTTATAAGAGACATTCCTGAGTTGTAAAAGCTGCATATTTACCCTTGTGAGCACATTGTAATAATGGCCTAGGAAGTGGGGGAGGGTCACCAGGCCTGACGTCAGGGGTGTACTGTGCAGAACAAACAGTAAATTTCTCGGGCAGTCTGAGTGTTCTCAGGCAGCCACTGTGAAGAGCCTGGGCTCACCCTTGGGACATGGCCTTGTGCTGCTAGGAGCCATGCTAGAGTTCGGTCTCCAGCTGCAGGGGTTCCGACAGGGCTGTCAGTACCAGCGAGAGTTTTGCGGGTCTCACTGGCACTATTTATCTCGTTTCTCCTCCTAGAGGAACCTCAGTCAATGGCTGTCACTGTCACTGAAATCGAGGCAAACGTCTTTGTAACAGGTTGCAGGGTTCCCCTCTGATTCCTGACGCGCAGGTTTCTGTGGCCTAGGTTCAGGCGGAGGTGAAGAAGATGTGGAGCCGGTGGAATCTGTCGGTGGACTGGAAGAGGACGCCGCCGTGCGGCAGCCGCCGGTGCGGCTCGGTGCTCACCACGGTGACGCACAGCAGCAGCAGCCAGTCGCAGGCGGCGGCCAGCGCGCGCATGGTGCTGGTCTCGGGCAAGGCGGCCCGCGGCGCCAGCAGGCCGCCCCACAGCCACGTCACTCTTCCCGGCTACGTCTGGAGTAACTCGGAGCAGGACGGCCTGCCACCCGCCGTCCACGAGGAGACCGAGGAAGGATGCGGGAGGCAGGGCGATGGCATTCCAATGGAGGAGTCCTCCAGGCCTGTGGCACTTAACGCAGACACCGAAGGATGCAGAGGAGAAACGGAAGGTGTTCTCTGAACCAACATTTGTGGACTGAACCGGCCCGTCCATTTGGTTGTGTGAAGGAAGCTTGGCTGGCGTTCCTCCGCTTGAGCCCCGAAGGCTGAAAATTCAGGGTTAAGGTGTTACTTAAAGGCTCTCAGTGATTTGGCTCTTCTAAAGACTAAAGACACAGAAAGGGAAGTGTCAATGGAGTCGTTTATTACTATTATACCTTAAGTTGGTATCAGATTCTCTTCTAAATTCACGTATGGTACTTGCTCAGTGATGGTTCATTTTTTTTCCCTGCTGCTTTGGGTAGAAAAATTTCAGTTGCTTGGTTGCAAATTTTTCTGATAAATACCACCCTAAATAGGATAAAGATCAGTTAATATGTATTATTTTCCTTTTAAGAAATGAGCAGTCTCTTCTTGTCTTTATCACTTTAATGTACTTTATATTGCTGTGTTCATTTAGCTTGAGTATAGGAGCAATTAGGATCTAAAAAGTATTTGTTGGAAGATAAAAGATCTAAGAACAAATACTGGAAAATTAGCTGGCTGGACATTGATAAAATAATGCATTTATGACAATTGGACTTGTTTCCGGTTCCAAGGAAAATCTCTCAAGAACATTTCACATACTCCTCCTTTTGAATGTCTCCTTTGTGACCAGGAAGAGCTCAGGTCTTCACCTTTTCTTTGTAAACCATGACAATGTAGAAAGCGTGTGTCTGCAAACTGCTTTTATTGATAATAATTTATGTTGATAGTAAATCACACTGCATCTATTTTTTTTCATGTTTTATCTGTTAACTGTATTGCACATGGCATATGGGATAAATTAAAAGTTTGTTTAAAAAATATACTTGGCGTTACTTTTTCAATTTCCTTTCAGCATTTCACTTTATTTTTAGGAACCAACCAAATTTCCTGCCCCCAAATGTACAGATACCAGCATTTAGCTTCTGTAATTTACTGAACTTGAAACTTCATTATGTTGCACTTTTGAAAACATTTACTGAGTGCATGTCATGTATCAGCAAGGACCCTGCTGGGTTTTTATAAGCATTAACTTACTTAATCCTCAATAAAAACTTATAGAGTGAGTCTTCTAACTGCAACTCTTTTCACAGACAACAGTGTGGCTTGTAGAGGTACAGTAACTTGCCCAAAGTTGCACAACCAGTAATTAAGAATGGTTTTAGATACACATCTATTTTTTGGAAACTAAGAGATAGGGTTGAGACCATCAGATGCAGGTACTTGAAGATTGGGTACAGGTGTTAAAGTGACAACTTTTTAATTTAATTTAATTTTTTTATTAAGTCAAATACACATAGATCATGAATACATTCATGCATATGTAGGGTACAGTGTGCTGATTTTTTTTTATACAATCTAACATGGTTACATTAAACCAATCAATGTAGCCTTCACCTCATTTACTTGATTATTGTGCCAAAACATCTATGGTCTACATTTCACAGATTTGACTTGTACCCTTGTCATAAGGTGAACAACTTTTAAACAAAGGGGCTGACAATGACAGGCAAGAACTGGCTTCAACTAGTTCTAGTCAGCCATCTCTGCTACCCTACATGAGCTTAGGCTAATTATAATATCATTTACATGATATCATCAATTATAATATCATTTACATTTAAAATTTCTCTGCCCTTGAAATCATGATAATATGTGTATAGTGGAACCTCCATAGTTGTCCACCTCCTTAGATTACTGACCTCCTTAAGTTGGCCTAATTTTCATAGACTGGACATGTACCACATATACATATCAGTACAGGAGCCCTAGTTCATTATGTTGATCACCTCTGTATGTTGACCAGTTTGCTACAATCATTTGGGTGATCAATTTACTGAGATTCTACTGTTCTGAAGCAACCATATAAAGTATGAAATGAGAGGGAACTTAATTCTAGGAGTTACTGCCCCAAATCTTCGTATAAGCCAACACTTTGTCCTTGAATATGCCTCCCCTTGATTAGTAGGACTACAAAAGATGTAAGGCCACTTCCTCCCGGTGATGCTGCTCCTTGGGATGCTGCCCTCTCTTTTCTGAAAGTGTCCTTCTACTCTGAATGAAGCTTCCCCTTGCTTGGCTGATGTGGTGCATCCTGAAATTCTTTTCCATGAAGAACACCAAGAACTTGGAAAAATCTCCACTTGGAGACCAGTAACACATTGACTTTAAGTCTCATGTTTTTAGTCATTATTGTCACCAATATAATATGTAGCCTATTAACCAATTGAAAAATTTGGTGAATTCCTCCTGGGCATATTGTATTTTAGAAACTTGCAACATATTTTAGTCTCTGGTCATCATGAAGTCTCCTTTCTAGTGGAGAAGACATACATGTAGGAAATCAAAAGCATCAGAGCAACATGTTTTCAGGCGCACATCTCAAGCTGATCTGTCTTATTTTGCTGAATGACTTAACCAATATGCAAATTGTGTCATGATGAATAAGGTTCTCTGATATCTACAAACCCTTTTGAAAAATATGACGCTTCTTTTCCATGCTTTTTCCTTCTGTGCTATAGTGTAGACTATTTCCTTCCCTTCTGTTTATAAAGGTGCTATTGTACATAGGTAACTCATCTGATTCAAGCTTCTATTGTTACATCTCCAGTCTGCCTCCCTGTTAGGAGAGAGAAGTTATGGGCTGAGGCAGAGATTAATTTCCTTTACAGTTTAATTTTTCAAATGAAGATTATATTTGTCTACCACTAATTTGTCAAATTAGTATATCTCTCAATTTATTTAGTTCTTTGATTTCTTTCATCAAAGTTTTATAGTGTTTTTAATATAAATTTTATACATATCTTGTTATTTTATACCTAAGTATTTAATTTGGGGGGATGCTGACATAAATGTTACTGTGCTTTTAATTTCAAATTACAACTGTTTATTGCTGGCATGTAGGAAGGCAGTTGACTTTTGTATATTAATGTGTATCGTGCAAACTTTATAACCATTTATTAGTTGTAGGAGTTTTTGTTATTGTTCATTCTTTAAGATTTTCTATGTAGACAATTATGCTATCTGTGGACAACAATAGTTTTAGTCTTTCTTTCTAATCACTATTCATTTCCTTTTCTTTTTATGTTTTATTGTGTTACTTTGGACTTCCAGTCTGATTTTGAAAAGTAGTGGTGAGAGGGGATATCCTTGCCTTAACTGATCCTGGTGGAGAAACTTTACATTTCTCACCACTAAGTGTGATGGTTTTTATCATGGGCAGAGGCCATCTGAACTCCATTGTGTGGGCAGTGCCTAGTCCTTGAGCGACTTTGTCTGAACTCTAGGCTTGTGCTCTCTGCCTGGGGAGCCCTGTGAACCTGACAGGGTGCTCAGTGAGTGGTATATGAGTAACTCCACTGGACAGTGGCCCTCTGAGCTTTATTGGCTATGTGGTACCGGTGAATCAATGACTTTGAAATCTGCACCTGAGCACTCCATTGGCAGTAGCCCTCTAAATTAATTGGGTGGGAAGGGCTTGGTGCCTGAGTGATTTTGAATTCTGGGCCAGTACCCTCAGCTGGGCAGTCCTATGAACTTGATTGGGTGGGTAGAGCCCGAGCTGACAGAATGATTTTGATTGGAAATCTGGGCCACTGCTGTCCACTGATTCTATTCTCCTGGAGACACTCTTTGGGGCTGCTGGTTCATCATTTGCATACCTTTGTTAGAGCAGTAGCAGTATGGCAACAGTGAGGGGCAGGCTCAGCAGGGACAACCTATCAATTGAACGAAAAATCTATAATTCACATATTGAAAAAGAGAAGAAGCTGAAAATACTCATGGGGAGGAATCAACAGAAGAACTTTGGTAACATGAAAAATTAAGTATATCAAATCTCCCCAGGGGATTTCAAAGAAGATACCACAGAAAATATCATATACAAAGAAATTGTTGAGATGTCGGAATTAGAGTTCAGAATATGGATGGCAAATAAAATAATTGGTATGGAGGAAAAGAGAGAAATAGAAAACCAAAAAAAAAAAAAATAGTTCAGAAGTTGTCTTAAGAAATTAATGAATTCAAAGATAAAGTCACCAACCATATGGACATAATAAGGAAAGATGTAACAAAGCTTAAAGAATTGAAGAAGTTATTTTAGGAGCTTTGAAATGCAGTAGAGACCTTCAGAAATAGAGTTGAACAATGTGAAGGAAGAATCTTTAAAAAAGAAGACAAGACTTTTGAACTATGCCAAGCATTCCAAGAGTCAGAAAAAAGGAGAACAAGAATAGAATATTCTCTGAGAGAGTTATGGGATCATTCAAAAAAATCAAACATCTGAATTGTAGGGATTTCAGAAGGAGAAGAGGATGGTCCCAAAGGCACAAATTCTCTACTTCAAGATATTATGGTGGAGAACTTTCCAAGTATTGTGAGAGACACAGAAATTCAGATAGTAGAAAGTTTCAGAACCCCAGCAAGACTAAATCCAAACAAAGCATCTCCTAGACACATTGTAGTTAATTTTTCCAATCTTAATATGAAGGAGAAAATCCTGCAAGGAGCCAGGCTTAAGAAAAGTATTACTGACAAAGGGGAAAATATCAGGATGACTGCAGATCTTTCAGCTGAAACTTTTCAAGTCAGGAGCATGGTCATCATTGTTATCATTGACCTTGATTCTTTTTTTTTTTTTTTTTTTTTTTTTTTTTTTTTGCAATTTGTGGCCGGGGCTGGGTTTGAACCCACCACCTCTGGCATATGGGGCCCGCACCCTACTCCTTTGAGCCACAGGTGCCGCCTGACCTTCAACATTCTTAAACAAAACAATTTCCAGCCCAGGATTCTAATCCTGCTAAGCTGAGTTTCATTTGTGATGCAGAAATCAAATACTTTACTGACATCCAAATGTTGATGAAATTGGCCATTAGTAGATCAGCTCTACAGGAAATTCTCAGACCCATTATTCATAACAATCAACAGAGGGTACACCACCAATGTAAACTCACCCAGAAATTTATGAACAAAGCCTAGCTTCCATGACAGTGAAAGGGGTAAAAATAAGCTCTG